TTCTAAGCTCTTCTATTTAAGAGCTCTTGTTCTTCACTTTGTAAGACTTTTAACTACTGTCTTGACCTGAGAGAGCCAAGAGGAGAGGGGGAGAGAGGAAGAGAGGGGGAGGAACTTGTGAGGGGGAGTTTATGAGTCACATATCTCTTCTTGATCTGACTGATCAAGACTATCAGCCATTAAACACAGATTAATGACTTCCTCTTCCTTTTTAGTCTCTAATGAATCTGAAGCTGAGTCTGCCCAGAAAGTTATTTGAAACTTCTTCTTGCCCTTCTTTACAATTGGTTTCTCCTCTACCTTTTCCTTTCTAGGAGTGGCTTTGAGTTTTGGACATTCAGTCTTGATATAACCAGATTTCTTGCACTCATAGCAAATCACATCATTTGAAACCTTGGCATTTCTATTAAATTTACCTCTATTCCAATGCTGACGTCTCTTCTGCTTCCTCTTCATAAATCTTCTGAATTGTCTAGTCATCAATATGATGTCATCTTCATCCTCATGTTGTGAGTGTTCACTCTCAGACTCCTCCATTTTTAGTGCTATGTTCTTCTCCCTTCGTGGTTCATCTGCATCAATCTTTCTTTGGCTAACTCGTTGCTCGTAAGCAATTAGCAAACCAAGAAGATTGTCAATAGAGTAAATGTTTAGATCATTAGACTCTGTAATTGTAATAATTTTAGCATCATAAGTAGTAGTCAAACAACGAAGAATCTTATTAACCATTTCAGCATTTGTTAGTTCTCTACCCAGTGCATCCAAAGAGGTGACTATTTGTGTGAATCTTGTGTACATATCAGAAATGGATTCATTTAGTTTCATGCAAAAAAGTTCATAATCATGCAACAATATATTAAGTCTAGATTACTTAACCTCATTAGTCCCCTCATAAGTTATACAAAGTCTATCCCATATGTCCTTCCCACTTTTGCAAGTGGAAACTCGCATGTAGTCTTTTGATTTTAAAGCATAAAAGAAACTATTCAAGCATTTGGCATTTAGTTGTGCTAAGTCACATTCTTATACTATCCAGCCTACAAAAGGTGTTTCAACTCTAACTCCGTCAACTAGTCTAGTTGGTTTTGTATACCCTTCCTGAACTAAGATCCACATACGATAATTAAGTGACTATAAAAATGTAGACATGCGTGTTTTCTAAAAATCAAAAAGTATATTGTCGAACAATGGAGGTATAGTTATAGAGTAACCCTCGGGTGTATTTCAATTTCCAAATGTAGCCATCTACGTTAATCGAAAAGTAGTCTAAACTTATAATTTTGAAACAAAGCTCTGATACCACTTGTTGAAACTTGTTCTCTATGAATTAGGTTGTTAAAGCTAAGCTTATTTTCCAGCGCCTAATCAAGACGGGGGTGAATTGGTATTTAAAAAAAAATACCCTCTTTTAAAATTTAAAACCGAGAATTTAAATTTAGTGAATTTTATAGAAAATGTTTTTCAACCATAATTTTGAAACAGTAAAACAGAAAAATAAAAAAGCAGCAAAAAATAAAAGACACAAGATTTATAGTGGTTCAGTCAAACACGACCTACATCCACTCCTTAGAGGCACCCTCCAAGTATTGCACTAATACCACTAGTAACTCTCCTTTTGTACCCACAACAATGCGAAGAAGCCTTTACAAACACTCTTTCCACCCCTACCTGGTGCAGTAGAGAACCGTCATCATTTTACATTATCCACAGTGTTGGTAGAGAACCGTCATCTTTTTATACTCCCCCGATGTCGGCAAAGAACTGTCCATCCTTTCACACTCTCCTGGTGTAGGAAGAGTACCCTTTATCCTTTCACTCTCTCCTAATGTGGGCAGAGAACCCTTTATCCTTTCACACTCTCCTAGTGTGGGCAGAGAATCCTTCATCCTTTCACACTCTCCTAGTGTGGGCAAAGAACCCTTTATCCTTTCACACTCTCTTAGTATGGGCAGACAACCCTCGGTTGTTCACACTCTCAAAGTGTCGGCAGAGAACTTGATCTCCTTGACAGATCTTCTTCTCAAGAAATCTAGAAGGATGAGAGAAAAGAGTGAAGTACTCACAAACCAAGAGTAAAGACTCTTACCTTTGAGTGCCAAGTGAAACCTTCACGCTCTAATGGCAAGAAATGTCCTTATTCTCTCTCATACTCTCTCCTTGACTCTTCTTTAAATAGGCATGAAGATCAGTAGGCAAAAAGATTAAGTGGCAGTCTAAATTAGACTATTTATATCAAAGATAAAAAAAAATCGTCCAAAAACTACAAATTTTCAAGTTAACACGTAGTAGATCTTCCCGTACGATCATGGATCATCTTGAATGATTTTACTTAAATGTGTTGGAAACAAACTAAATGTATATTGGTACGAACTAAATTCGTACCTGATCATCATCCCGTATGAACTAGGTTCGTCCGGTAAGAATGGTTATTCCATAGGTCGGTTCTCAAAAACTGCAGAATATCGCCAAAATCTTCAGAGTCGGTTCGCTTCGTCCTGGGATGAATATGGATTCGTCCAGAAAAAATTTTTCCAGAGGGAACTTGTCCTGGAACGATTATAAATTTTGTCTGAACAAAAATTCTCTAGAGGAGATTTCATCCCGGGATGAATACACTTCATCCTAGACAAAAATACTCCAGAGAGCAACTCGTCCTGGAACGAATATAAATTTTGTCTAAATGAAAATTTTCCAGAGAACATTTCTTCTTAGGACGAATACACTTCATCTTTGACGATCAGGACTTAGAAAAATTTTCTTCACTTCATGTTCGTTCCATTGCTCTTACAAGGAGATAACTGACCTGATCGTCCCATACGAACAATGTTCATCCCGTACGATTAGTACAAATTTTTCAAGATCTTCTTAAGTGTGTGTATGTTTATTCAGTCAATTACAATCACTCCCTCTCAAACTTAATTCAAAGAGAAATATAAGCTTTAAATACACAAAGTATCTCATGCTGAATTTGATTTGAAGTCTTCGTAGTCTAGAGTTTGATTTTCCTGAAATATTAGTACACACAAGAGCAAAAATGAACTCTTCCAAAAAGTGTTAGGAGATAACTACACATAAAAAAATAATATTTGAAATCATCAAAACTATAAAAGTTGCAAGAATGTAGAACATGCAAATAGCAACTCTCTTAATATTACTGAGTTTAGTGCAAAACTCAGAGGGCACCTCCGGGGAGTAGAATTGACCAAACTACTATAAATCTCTTTGTTTTTTATTATTGCTTTTGTATTTAATTTCTGCACTTTGATTTCTTTGTGGTGAACTTTGGTTTAAATTTGTGTTTTAATTAAAGAATTTTTTAAATACCAATTCACCTCCCTCTTGGTTAGCCTAGGCTAGTTCATAATGGATTAACATCCCTGTCATACTTTCAAGTGGTATTAGAGCGAGATTCATAAAATTGAGTTTTTTAAAAACTTTTTGAATTTTAATCAATGGCTATCATTGATAATCATAATACTGTAGAAGGGTATTCTATTACCCGACCACCTTTGTTTGATAATATTCATTTTGATTTTTGGAAAACTCGCATGTCTGCATTTTTACAATCAATTGACTATTGCATGTTGATGCTTATTAAGGTTGGTTATACACCTCCTTCTCAAGAAATTAATGACATTAAAACTGAAATTTCTTTCATTGAATGGACTTTTGATGAACGTGATTTAGTGCAACATAATGCAAAATATTTGAACTTTTTTTCTGTTCTTTGAAATTTGAAGATTATTTACGTGTTTCAACTTGTGGAACTAATAAAGAAATTTGGGATAGATTGTGTATTACTTATAAAGTAATCAATTAAGTTAAATAATCTAGGTTGAATATTTTGTTGGATGACTATGAGCTTTTTCGTACGAAACCTACTGAATTAATTTCTGACATGTTGAGTCCATTATAATATTATAGGTTCTGATTCTAAGTAACGTTGTACATACACACTTATGGAAATTTTTTTAACTATTTTAGAGTTTTCTATTTTTGCTCACATCGTCCGGGATGATCAATGTTGACCTACTTTTTCTCCCCGAACAAATTTTTCCAGGCTAGACCAAAGACCCATCCCAATGGGTTTAGGGATTCAAACCGAGTCTGTTGAGCCCTAGCCTGGGCCTTGGGTCAACCTGGTTGATTAGGTCAACTATGGTTGACCAATTAGCCCCCTTTGAGCCCCAAATTTAATTTAATTCAATCAAATCCCATCCAAGGTTGAAACCGACGTCCCCTTTGACCTATTTGACTGGGTTGACCAGGTCAACCATTGACTTGGTCAACCCAAGTCTTAAATAGGTCAATTTTGACCTATTAAGGCTCACTAAAGCCCCTTTAATGATTTTAAATGATCATTGGTATTTTAAAATTCAAACCCATGACTCAAGCATCTAATTTCCCTCCTATTTGATGCTTGATCTCATTCCTACTGTTGAAGGGGGTCTAGGGTGTTTAAATAGTAAAAATTAGGTCTCCTTTAGGATATTTTTCCAAATTCTCTTGGACGAAGCTCCCAAACTCTCTGAGACCTCATGTGAGTATTCATGGAGAGTTCCTACACCCTTCCCGACCAAAGCCCACGGCTAAGACCTCGCCGGCGGTCATCTTCCAGCGAGACCGAGGTTATTTTCCTTCCCCGCTCAATCCAATGTGAATCAAGGCTCGAGCTCAACCAAGAAAATATACGATGATAATCTACAAGCTTAACCGTACCATGTACTTTTGAATCCACTGTGTGGATTGAGGTATATCATGAACCCCAGCTAGAACACATAAAGTTATTTAACATCTCATAGGGTGAATACTAGTCAATGAAAGTTATTCCCCATGATTTTTGGTTACACCTAAATCATATGTTTAAAATTTTATTTGATTTGAAGCACCCTATCAAGAGAAAAATCCAAAATACCCATTAGTATTTCAGTTCGGCTGGAGCTGGAGCCAGACATCCGTCAGGCCGTTAATCGCACGATCAACAGCCCAGATTTGTCTAATCAACGGTCTGGCCTGACCGTGCGGTTCTGTTCCACAGTCCCGCCAGCCACATGGCAAAACCGTGGCCGTCCGCTCAAGCCACACCGATCTGACGACCCGGAGCACGCGCTGACGCGGATTAGTAAACTACGTGGGTCCCGTCGCACCACCGCAATTATTGGACAATGATTCGTGGCGGCGCTAATCATTGGCCCGGGTCCGTGGACCCAATCAGAGCCCGACGCGTGGCCTCCCGCCGCCGCTTTATTTAAAAACTAATTTTAAATTATTTTTAAAACCAATTTAAAATTCAATAAATCATAAAAAATCCTTTTTTGAGCCGAAAAATACGTGCAATATGTCGAATCGTTCATATTCGAATCCTCTTAGATCTAAAATTACATTCACTTAAAAATTTTTAATATATTTTGTATTATTTAAAAAATAGTAAAAATACGCTTTTATTATTATTATTATTTAAATTGTTATTTTAACAATAGTTTTTATTATATTAGTATTTTTATTATAATATTTTATATATAATTAATATTTTTATAAATTAATTTTGTTGTGTTATCATTTATTATTATTATTATGATTATTATTATTATTATTATTATTATTATTAATTATATGCTATTATTTTTTTAAGATTATTTTGGAACCTCGATTGGGTGATCAGTGGGTCTGCCTATATTAATAGAATTTGATGATATATTTTTAATTAGATTATTTTCCAAAATTATATATATTTATAATTATTTTTTAGTATTTACAAAATTACATATATATATGTTAAATCCCATTTTTGGGAGACTACACTACATGAAATTTTAAGGCATAGATCGTATGTGTGAAGAGAAAATCATGGGGGAGGTGGATAGTGATGAATTGAGTCCCATCATTCACTAAATCCCTTCGTTAAGTGGCATTTATTTTTCCTTGTTATCGTAGAGTTGTATGTTGTAAGGGTGCACGCACCATACTTAGTTTTAGAGCCTAATCCATAGGACTCTAAGGATAATGGTGTGTTAACTACTTTTATGTGTTACCTTGGCTAGTTACCTGGAGGGTTAGCTATAAAACTATCAACTTCAAACCCGTTAGCATACGTAGTGATCATCATTAAAGGACAATAATTAAGGACACCGTTTTAAGTGACTTAGAAAATTTCTAGCAGCTAGGATAGTCACTGATATGACATGAAACTTCAATATTTAAATTTAAGTAGATATTATAAACATCTCCAGAATTTTCTAGGAATTTTTAGGGCTTGTTTCGAACCCCTTAATTAACCACAACCCTATTGAACCCTATAAAATGGGCCCCGACACCTTCTAAAAACTACAGTAAAATCCACTTTATACGTCAGTAAAATTACCTACCTTATCATCAAACTCCCCAAAAATTAAGAAGACTTACTCCTACAAATAAATAGGGCTACCTTAGTTTGACCATTAGGTTAGAACCACTTATTTAACCTTAGGTGGAAATTACCTTTTTGCCCCCTAATAATTATTAAAATTATTTAAAATCCAAAATTTTTCCAAAACACTGGAACACCTCCTTATGTCAATTAGTAACCTTTGTAGGTGATTCTAGTTAGCTTGGAGCTGTTTGATCACCGCTAAAATCAGCCCTTAAAGTAGATATATTTAGATAATTCCATTAATTACCAGTCTCATGAAATTTATAACTAATTATAAAAAAAGTCCATTAGGCAAACTCACTTGTATTAGACTACTAATTAGGGTCTAGTATTTAATTAAAAATGTTAAGGATTCACAGAACTCACCTAAATTAGAACGTCCAACTTTTTGGTCAACCCCAGCCTTAGTCTAGGGCCTTAGAAAATTCTAACTTTGTGATAAGAAACTCTAAATCCAGCATACTACATGTCTAAAAAATCAATCTTAAGGTCTAGTATACGCATAAAAATATAGGGAGCCAGACCTTACCCTATTTCTAGGACCTTTGGACCCCACTCACCTAGTACCTAGGAAGGACCCTGGACTTCCAAAATTGGCTAATATCATTGAACTTCAAAATTCAACACCCCAAGGTATAAAACCAAATCAAATAACTAAATAACTAAAAGGATCCTCACATCCAAGAATATTAAACCTAATAAAGTCCTTTTCTAGCCATAACAAACCGTGAACTTAGCCATTTTAACAAAAAACTACCCAGCTTAGGACATATCCAGCCACACCAGCCATACACACACATAGAATTACTATTCTAGGGCACCACTTCTAATACTTAGGCCTATAGGACGGTGTCTTTTATTTCATTTTTCTACTGGTGTCCAGAAGCTTTTATGTTTATCAACTGCATGCTGTAGTGAAAATTGATTAGGTGTGTTTGCTATACTTTTTTGCACTCTGGATATGATAAGTGATGGCACTAGAATCTACCTCTAGGTTAGAGCGATTTATGATTATATTATATATATATATCATTCTTCTTGTAGATGGCCATGCTCATTCTATACAAAAGGGGGGAGGGGGGGCAGTGTCATGATTTGTAATACTATTTCATGCAGGTGCTTGCTCAGCCCCCTTAATAAGATGAAGGCTAAAATCATTAAATTATAACTGCTACAGGTGCTCTAGAAATTTCTTAGCCCTCAATGATTAAGAGCATGGCCAAGATTGTGGTTGTGAATGTGCATTTTTATTTCCTTATATATAAACTGCTTGTGATTTTTATTAGGATAATCATGCAGGTGACATTAGATTTAATGCTTTTTAATTAAAGTAAATTTATTTATAATATTGGTGAGAGTTGTGAAAATAACTCTGAGTTGGGATATTCTTATCCAACTCAAATTCCAAAAGAACAAGGCATCCTCAAAGGGAAGAGTCTTCTTCCATTTGGAAGATCGAGTTGGATGTCTTTAGATATCTAAAGAGAAAAGACAATACCCTCTACAGGGGGAAATTATCACTTTGTTTGGATATTCAAGCCACGACGGATCGAAGGAGTCCAAAGAGGGGAAATCCATGGAGTCCAAAGAAGATAGATCCAAGGATTCCAAGGAGAAGAAGACTAAAAATTTAAAGACTTAAAGACCAATATCCCACTCAAAGTTGCTGGCATCTGTCGTAGGCTTAGAAATCTGGGTTGTTGGAAGCGGTGGCCGATCACTTTACTTTTCTGCAGACCCTAGTTTGTAATAAAAATATAGTTGGCCTATGGACATTTACTTGATTGGTTTATTTATATTGATTGTGTTTATTATATTTATGCAGTAGAAATTGCCTGCTCTTCCTAGGTTTCTTTCTTGCATGTCGTCTTTATTTTTGCCTGGAACTTGTTAGGCTCTTCTAAGGACTATGAAAATTTTTCTACTCATAACTTATATTTAAAATTTACGTTTAAATAACATAGAAATCAAACAAATCTAGGGAACTTTCGGAATCTTCTGGGGTCACATATATATTAATGCATTTCTCTCTCTTTCTAATAAGACACCTCCCTGCCTGTGGGAAGAGTCCGGATAATCTGGCCTATGAGGATGAAGTGCCAGACCTAGGGAGGCCCAATCTTTTCTACAAATTATTTTTATATAAGCCTATTTTTAAACTCCATAGCATATTTGATTTAGAACTTTCAACCAGCATGCATTACATTAATAACAAACTAAAGAAAATTTTAATTGCATTAGTTAGGGGCATTCACCCCACATAAGTCCATGACCAATTAGGATACTCTTTAGATATCGATCATACTTCCAATAACTGTACCACCCACCCATCTCTTATAATTGACTTGACAGCATGGTTTTAAAGTGATTAGGTGGTTAGCTGGCTCCCCAATCCGGGCTGGGGTAAGTCCAGATTTTTTTGCACTACATTAGCTAGAACACGGGTCTTAGTATTGTGTAGAACATTAAGCCCAATCTAGTTTTACGATTCAAGACTACTACACTCGGTCTAGTAGTATGCCTAAATAATAGGTAAGTCTCTTCCTTTCAGGGACTATAAATCCTACTTATATGCGTCATAGAATGATACCACCTCCATCTTTTCTCTCACGTATAGGTCGATTGCCTGAATTTTTTTTCTCTAGTTTCTCCTTAGTACCCTAGAGCCTCCGAATGCTAGTGTGAACCACGCATGTTCATTCAATCCTTCGAACCTTTCTTCCTGTTGAGTAGGACTTCTTAGTCTACACCCTTATGCCAATCCCATTTTTGGGAAGGATAATGTATGATCAGGCTCTGACCTGAGATATAATTAAACAAGGGGGCTTGCGCCCATGGTAAACTTTGCCCCACATCTACTAAACCCCACTCGAGCTGTTGTGTCGGGTGGGGGAAACCCGTGACTGTGATCAGGTCGTGTATATTACTACCCATCAGGTTGCACTAGCGAGAGCTGCTATCCTCAATGGTTAGTGGTATACACGATCAAATCTGTACCTTCTAATTGGCCTGTTCGCACGGTGCTCTTTTGGAGGTCCACAATCAAAAAATTATCGTGGATGAGCAGTCAAACACAAAAACCCTAATTAGGGCATCCTGGTTAAGGAAGCCATCATTAAGCGTATCATCTTGGACGATATTCGTATCGGCCGAGACTATAGTCTCAAATAAGAAAGAATCAGTTGCCATATCTACTTAGGTATCTTTTATTTTTGGACATCATCCGGATGATGTAATATAAATATTCCTAAATAAATTTAGTAATTAAGGAAAGTAATTAAGGTTTGATTTCTAGACTATATCATCTTGGATGATCGTAGGATCGGCCGGGATGATCAGTTCAAAAACTTTAGTTATTCCTAGACTATCAAACATAAGCTAACTTCTATTCAAGGAGATGCTCTAGACCATATGCACCAAATTGAACTAATCATCTTGGTCAATCGCGAGATCAGCCTGGGCGATCAAGTTATTTTTCCATCATCCAAACATCCATTCAGGGTGATGGTCTGGATAATATTTAATGACTTGTACTAGTCATACAGAACGGTATCCTATTATATTAGACGATATGAACAAAAAACCTTCTAATCGTCCCAAATCATCCTTACTAATTGAGATAAATTATACTGATTGTACAGGATGATATTTATATCATCCTAAATGTTAAAGTCAATTTGTTTCAATTAAGAGCTATTCTGAACCTCTTCTATTTAAGACCTCTTGTTCTATCCAAGAGATCATCTTTTGTTGTTGTTCTGATCTGAGAGAGTTAAGAGGAGAGGGAGAGCAAGGGAGAGAGAGAGAGAGAGGATCTTATAAGGGTGAGTTTGTGAGGAGTTTCAT